CGTCCACGAGAATCTTGCCTTTTTTCCTTTTTAATTTTAAAACAATGGCTCAGCGATAGCCGCAAACAAAATCTTTTATTAAAGGACCTATAAATGAACAAAGTCCTAGAAAAAAGAAGAGAGCTTCTTTCGTGCCGGTTTGGAGTCGGATACTTTTGTACAGCGATTATTTTTGATCATCTGTCTGTCTCGATCCCTTTTTGCGATATTTTGTAACCTAAATATTTTAATTCAGGGGCTGCAAATTTGCATTTTTCGACATTAACTTTTAGACCGGCCTCATTTAATAAAGAAAACACCTGTCTTAAATCCTGTACATGTTGGTCTAGATATCACTAGTAATAATGATATCGTCTATAAATAGATAAATGTGGACTTTCCGAGAACAGGTCTTAACACAATGTCCATGGCATCGCTGAAATGTTGCTGGGGCGCCCTGAAAGGCCAAACGGCATTCGCAAAAATGCATAAGTGCCAGACTTGGTTATAAAAGCAGTCTTAGGCACGTCCTCAGGCCTGATCCCTATTTGAAAATAACCATTCGTTAAGTCTAAAGTCGTCATAAATTTGGTTGATTTTTATGTTCCTTAAAATTTCTTCTATAATCGGTAACGGATATACCGGATATTTCGTTATGGAATTTAATTTACGGTAATCAATAGCGAATCTCCACCTTTTTGGATGCTCCAAAGGATAATCATTATTTTTCTTACATAAAACCACCGGACTAGCATAACTACTTGAGATAGGCGTTACGATCTTTTTACGTAGCATATCGGTAATATGCCATTCTATAATTTTTTCCTTATTCTTATCATACCGGTATGGTTTTTGACGAACCGGCAATGCATCTCCGGTGTCAATACTATGGTTAGTAACCTGGGTAAATCCTGGATATCACTAAATAAGGAAGCAAATTCACTTACCACTTGTCGGATTCTATCTTGCTCCGTCATTAGGCAGGTGGTCGAGATTTAAACCTTGGCGGTTCAACCTTTTCTACACGCACTGGTTTCATCGTCAGCTTAAGAGACGCTTCATTAAAATCCAGTGGCTTGTGCCGTCTGAAAGAAAAGTCTATTCTAGATTAAGTGTGCTTGCAAATTCTTTACTATAAAAAACATCACCTTTACTTGTTCGTCCTTGATACGGATGTACAAAAGGTACTTTACCTACGCACTTACATTGTTCTCCTTGCGCCGCTAATACTGTTGTATTATCCGCATTATATATGCGGTATTTGCGAAAATATCCTTCTAAAAAAGACTTCTGCCACACAGGAACACTGCGCGCCGGCCGGTATCCAGGAGTGCGGTGGCCGGGATATTATTTACCAAGACTTCAATCTTCGGAAGAGTTAAATTTTTCACCATTACTGTATTTAAACTTGTAGGAAGAGGGGTTTTCGTGGCCTTCGGATTTCCGCACCCTCTCGTCAGCAGAAATCCGTTTTAAGTTTAAATTATTTTTCCTTTCGGTGCTTTCCTTCTTTCTCCACTGGCCTTGAGACTTTTTTCCTGGATTGGGTTGCTATTGAAACTGTCGACGTTCGCCGGCTGTTTTTGAATGCTCGGGTTTCCTTGCCCACTGATTCGCTTTTTCCGTAGCCATGTGTGCTTGAGTTTGCTGTAGTCTTGGCGTACCAAATTGGTTTCGCTGTTGATATTGGCGTCTTCTTTCGACGTCCGCCGTTCTTCTTCTTTCAAACTGGATTGCTAGCTCAAATAATTTTTCCAGTGTAGTCGGATTTCTCAATTCAATAAAGTCTTGCACTTGGGGTAGTAACCTCGGCAAAATCACTTGAATTATTTCAGGATCCGGACGGTTTTCCATACAGAGCTTGAAAACGTGAATTTTTCTTAAAATAAACTCGAGAGGTTTTCCATTCTTTGTTGATATATACTGGAAAGTTCTGTTTCTAATTTCGCACGATCCCTTACAACAGGGAAGGCTTTAGTTTAGTAGGGCAGTCTTGAAATTTTCGTAGGTATAGGTGGGACTTCCTGCTTGACCCAAGAGACTTCTGCCGATACATTTGAACCAGTTAAGCGCTTGGCCCCTCAAAGCGCTGGTAGCTAAGGTAACTTTTTGGAAACTCATGGCACGGGGTAGAGCATGAAGTGGGTCATCCAATTTTTCCAAAAAACTGGTTACCGGTGAGTTTCCATTAAACGTTGCTTCTGGTTTCATCGAAGCGCGCATGGTCTGGGACAATGTACCCAAATCCTTCCAGGGCGGCAGCTGGCATTTCTGGATTCTGAGCCTGTTTCTGCAGGCAGCACAGGTTCTTCTTGAAACTCGGCCATGGTTATTCTTATTCGTCGGGCGCCACTATCAGGTTCAATGTTCTCTTCTAACCTTGCGTTCGGAAACATACAATGGACCTGAACTAGGAACAGGAGAGCTTACTCAAGCTATGTTCACTAATTGTAGTAAGTAGACAGGATACAGACGAAGGGTATACAAAACCCTTTATTTTTTTCTTTATATACAATGACTTCCGTACTTCGGAATACAATGACCCTCCACTCGGGGTCTAACTTAAAAGATATCAAAATAAAACTAAACTCTAATTTAACTTTAGAATAAGATTGGCCTTATAATAACAGGAAGCGTATGTAGCACAGAGACTGTGAACACTACAATACGTTTAATTTATCAAGAGGATTAAATCCTCTGGCCTGGAAGGCAAAGTAGCAACTGCGTAACTTCTAAGGTAAGCGGCCTGCTTCGAACTCACGGCTTCCTCTCCTCTGCTTGGCAAAAAGACCACACTTAAATACTTGGCGTTCGCCAGACAACTTTGCATAAACTCCTTCACGCTTATAATTCTGGCCGGAAGTAGAAAATAAGAAGTGATAGTAAAGATTTAAAATAAAATAAACGTTAGTAAAACTTAAGATCCTTACAAGTGAAATAATAAATTACTTCAGTGAAAAATTCAAATGAAAATTTTACCTTTAAACAAAGAGAACTTTATCCAAAGAATTGAAAACGTAAATGAAATTATAAATAATTTTAGTGAAATTTATTACTTATGAATTTCAATTTTTGATCTTTCTGAAAAATTGGTTCTAAATTTCTTATTATATGAATTTTAAAGTCTTAAATGAAAATTTAATTGATTCTTTTTCCGGTTTTTGATGTCAAATGAAGCAGGAGAACAAAACAAGTTTTCGAAACGTATTAATCGACTTTTATGAAGGCTTAATTCATTTCCCCCCGAATTGAAGTTTCAGGAAAAGCAGATTAATTTTTATATTTTTATCTTGTATATTTTTCCTCTTTCATTTTTATTTTTCGAGTTTGTACTACTAAGAATTCTTAATTTTATTTTGATTTGTTTATGCATTGTGTTAAACCTCTTATACATGTTGGCAGTTATTAATATTGTTGAGGAATTGCCTTGATTTGACTCCAGTTTACTTTTAACTTTAGATGCTTTAAGTTTATACATATATAATTTGTATGCGGTACGTGTAATTTCTCACATTAAATTCTAAAATTTATGATTTTAAGATTTTTTAACTGAAATTCTGCTTTCGAAAACGAATAAAAGGCACCAACATTGTTATTCCTAGCTCTAATTTTGAGCATTTCATTGGTAACTATGAATATACGAGGGCCATCCAGGAAGTAGATTACGTTTCCGTCTGTGTCCGCTAGGGGCGGGGCTAGCGCGTCCATCTTGGGGTCAGAGCGTTGCGCAGCTCAGTCTGCATCTAGCCGTGCTAGTGAGAGGTTCGTGCTGTGCTCCGTTCAGATACTGTGACGGTTTGAAATGTCTGCGTTAATTGAAAATCCTGCGAGGTGCGCTCAGTAATAAGGTTTCTGACTGCAAAAAACTGTAAACCGATAGAAATCTATCGGCAGCTTCGTGAAGTGTATGGGGACAACATTATCACTGAAGGTGGAGTGCGTCAGTGGGTCATAAGATTTCAAAATGGCCGAACCAATGTTCACGACGAAGATCGAAGTGGGAGACCCAGCATAGTGACCCCGCCGAACTTCTCGAAAAAAGTCGATGCTAAAGTCCGTGAAAATCGAAATTTCACAATAACGGAACTTTCTTTGAGTTTTCCACAAATTTCGCGAAGTTTGTTGTGCACGAAATCATCAGCGCGAAAAGCTTGGTTACCACAAGTTTTGTGCAAGATGGATTCCAAAAATCTTGACAGAGGACCACAAAAATCAGCGAATGGCTCTGCAGCGTTGAACTTTTTGGACGCTTACCATAAGGATGGTGACTCTTTACTCGATCGCATCGTTACTGGTGACGAAACATGGGTGAAACATGTGAACTGTGAAACGAAATTGCAATCAATGCAGTGGGGGCACACAAGTTCTCCCCAAAAACCCAAGAAATGCATGCAAACAATGTCGGCAAGGAAGATGATGGCGACTGTTTTTTTTGGGACAGAAAAGGTTGTAATTTTGGTGGACTTCCTGGAAAGAGGCACTACAATAAACTCTCAAAGGTATTGCCAAACTCTCCAAAAACTCAGAAGAGCAATTCAAAACAAGCGCGCAGAGGAATGTTGAGCTCTAAGATCTTGTTGATTCACGACAACGCCCGGCCCCACACGGCAAATGTCACTCGTAAAGTTCTTGAATCTTTTAAGTGGGAGTTTGTTTCCTCATCCGCCGTACAGTCCCGACCTGGCACCGAGCGACTTCCACCTATTCCCAGCAATGAAGAAGTGGCTGGCTATGCAGCGTTTTGATGACGACGCACAGCTGCAAGAAGAGGTAACGAAGTGGTTGAAGGCGCAGGCGGCCGAATTTTTCGACGAAGGAATTTCCAAGCTCGTACATCGCTACGATAAATGCCTTAATTTGTATGGTGACTATGTAGAAAAGTAGTATTTGAGTGTGGCTTTCATCTGTATATAATAAAATTTGTTTCCTATACTTTATTTTTTTATTCCAAAACGTAATCTACTTTCTGGATAGCCCTCGTAGATTCTCATTCAGAGCCGTCTAAATTTACTGTATAATCTCATCTGTTTCAGATATTCTGCGCTTTAAAGGTTCAAGATGTCCTTGTCTGGCAGCATAATACGCTTGATGACCTTCAATTGGCCTAGTTCCCGACAGAAGACAGTAACGCTTTTCAGATTCGCTCATGCTTTGAGCAAACCGAAGGTAGAACCTTACATTGAAAACACATCGACTATCCAAAGGCTACCTTATACCGAAGCTCTGAAGGAGAAAGAAATCCAGATTGCTGTTTGCGGTCAGTTGTACCACAAGTGGAGGAAGGAGCGAAGGTACTGGTCAGTACCAAAAGGTGATGTCGAATTCAAGGTCAAATATATTGACACTGGCCACCAGGAAAGACCTCGCAGTGAGTCACCGATTGTGGTTGCTCTCCATGGATCACCAGGATCGTATAAAAATTTTGATGCTATCATTTCTCATCTCTACAGACTTGGCGTAAGAGTAATATCACCGATTCTCCCGAGTGAGTCTATGCAACTATTCAATTCTATATAATTTATTTGATAGGATGCTTTACATTATGTCTACTGTACCCGCCGCTTATTAAAATCACATCCGTTCTAAAAGTATTTGAGTTTATTAAGCGGTTGAGTTTAATACTAAATGAAGATTTGTATGTTACAAACTGTGATATCAGTTTTAAAATTTTCAAGTAAAATAATAACTAATGACTAATTTATTAATTAATCCAAAAGTAATACTAATTCAGAAGTCAAACAACAAAAATCAGCGTTATATTTACAAAATTTTCACAGGACTAGTTTCGATGGTTTTACCGAACCACCATCTTCAGCTGCAAAACCGCAAATGAACAAGATAGGAAATAATGATTAGATAAGATAAGAAAGCCTGGACAAGAATAAGCAAGTGGCGCCATCTGTTGGCGAAACCAGAACTAAAACATAATTTCTCTAAAAGCCGAAGGCAAATTTGGATTGGAATTAGGATCGTTTAACTAGAACAGAAAGATTTTTATGAATGTGAAATGCCTCTAGAAAAAATCCAGTTCTCCAATGGAAGATGTTTTTTGAATAATTTTGGCAGCAGAAAAATTGAAAGTGTGATTTTCGGACCAACAATGTTGAGCAACAGAAGACTTTTGTGTTTTTCTTTTTTCTAACATTATTGTGTCTTAACCAAAAGTAATAGTTAATAAATAATTCAGACACATAATGTCTAAGAAATGGAGAAATATCTTTTTTTTAGTACATTTTGAGTCGTTTTCTGGCTGTGAAGTACGCTATGATAATTCCATCGCTCATATTCACTCCACCCATTTTTTTATTATAATCAATCACTAGTTCCGGTTTTTTGTTATTATTTTTCTTTTCTGATTCTATTACGTTGTCATTATGTACAATACTTAGTAAATAAACCTCCCTCTTATCTTTCCATTTCATTAACATAATACACGCATGACAAGTATACTCGTCAATACACAAATATTAGAGTTAGAAGATTTCTGACTGGTGTAGTCCGAAAGCAGGGAGATGCACGGAGGTAAAGAGAGGTGACCCTTGTCACAAAAGCAGCATCCAGCATCTTGAGACAGAAGGCGCAAAAGAAGTATCTAAGAATTACACATTCAAATTCATCCAAAGAAGATCTGTAATATGTAAAAATGATCAGAAAAATATATACAATATGATAAAATTGAAAGTGAGGCAGTCGAGTCCTGATTGGCTGTCAGGGTCTTTAAGCTGTCCAATGCAGTAGAGTTAAGTGGAAAAGTTTATCATCCATCATGAAAGCCGCAAGTGAATGCAAGGAGGTTAGAATCTATTCTAACCTCCTTGAGTGAATGCGAGTATGGGTCTTCTTCGAGAATTTCGCAGTGGAAGGTGATGGAAATCAGCAGGTGCAACGGTCATATTTATACTCTACGGCAGTAGAAACGAACGAAAACAGAAAGAGAAGACAGCGCCATCTGTCGGCAAAAACAGTAACAAAATTGAAAGAATTTTTGCTGAGAGATGGCGCTAACTTTTCTTTCGCTTTACTGCTGTATGGTGTAAATACTACCGTTGCATCCGCTGCTTTCCAGGCTTGAGATTTTTTTGCTCCTGATAAAGAGGGACCTGTACCTGTTTGCCCTTGAAATCGATCGAGATCATGAATGAGTCTACACCAAACCAAACACAAAGCTGTTGTTTTGATAATTTTATGCTGCATAGTTATTTAATAAGTGAAGCTATTTTTCTATTTTTAAGTTCGCCTCATTCCAAGAGAAATTAATAAAAATGCTATTTGTCATCCATAATTTCTTTTTGCTATGATAAGTTGTAAGTGAATTTACTCCTTTTAATTTATGTTAATAAATTAAGCAGATATTAACTCCATTGGATTATTTTAATGATACAGGCGATATTTAATACAGAAAAGAGCAGTTTATATAAAAATGTTATCATACTGCATTTAGTATTTATTAAATAACTGCATTTTTTTTATTCTTTTATTTGCTTATTCATATCTTTTTATATTGATTTTTACATTCATTCCTTTTTGAACATTTCATTTATTTTTTTTATGGTTACGTTTGCAGCACTAGATGTCAAAAATCCTACCCGTTTTCGTCATACTCCTGAAGAGAAATCGGAATATGTAAAAGGTTTTCTCAAAGCACTCCGCGTTCCTAGGTATGATTTTTTTTTTTTTTTTTTTTTTTTTCCTCCAAAGGGCGTTATTCCAAAAGAGCTATTAATTTCGTTTTGGCATTTTGCGTTGATTCACTATAAATGCCGGTTAACTCTTCAAATTGTTGCCACTGAGCTCTGTCTAATATTTAAAGAAAATAAATAATGAAGAATCTGCATAAATGTATGCATGTTTCTCGCATTGTGATAAAGCAACGGTACCTAGAGCCATCAAATTTTGAATAACGTAATCCTCCAGCGAATATGGACATCTGGAAAACCAAATTTGGAATTTGTTTTATTATCGATTTCATATTTTGTGAAACTTTAACGAATTTTTGATTAACAAACTCGAGGATTTCAAAGCAAGCACTGTACGGAAAAAAACCCTTTTATCTGCAGCGAGCGAAACTGTGTATCGGAAATTCTAAAGATAGGCTCATTTAAAAATTATTTTGTGATATTACTGTTGAACTGAATTTTATAGTTTGAGTGTGAAGAATATGATACTTAATAAATAAAGGTGACACACAAAACGTTAAATAAGCATAATGTGAAACCTGAAAGCTTTCAGATTTTTTTATTTATTTATTTATTTTATTATTTTCTTTTACTATAGACCTGTAAAATTCTTCACTGTGCTTCAGTATTTCAAATTTTTTAGTAAAATGTTATATGAAGCTCTTCTAAGACAATGTGAAATAAATTCAAAATAAAAAAAACATTGTTTTAAGAAACACTGAAGGAAACTGAGGAAAAAAAGAATTTTAAAAGTGTGACCGTTAAATTTTATTGTTCTGCACTGTATGTTACATTCTGTACTTTAGATATGAACTAACTGAAAACTGATTTAGCTTACTTTATAAGAAAAAAAAATTTGTTAAAAAGCAGCTTATGGAAGTGATTATACACAATATAATAATTAATAATGAATCTGGTTCGGAGAAACGGAAATCCCAGTTTGTAATTAAAGAATGATTTTTTCCCCTTTAAACTATAAATGTTTAAGAGATGTCTGCGATGTAAACTACATTTTTACAAAATTTTACGGCTGAAATAAAAAGACTGAGTCGGATTCTATTTTCTCTGGATTTGTAAGCATAATTTTGCTTTGACAAGCTATGTAAATTTCTTCACATATTTTGAAATCGGTGGATTTCATATCATACAATACATTGAAATATTTCAGCAGCGATCGGTTTTTAAAATTCTTCAGTTTTAGTTTTAGAACATTAATTTTATAACAGTTCAAACTGCACTAAATGCTCAATTAATTTTAAAACTGTTATTTTACTTTAATATTATTTCGTCGCATTTATTTAAAAGAAAAGTTGCTTTTCGAAAAGAAGTTTCATAAATGTTGCTTTCAAATTATGTGCTGTATTAGTAAACATATTTATGCCCTTACTCCCCCTCCCAACGAACGAGTTATCTCTTAAGTATTATATTTTATCACCAGTTTCTCCAACCATATCAGTTAATTAGATTAGTGAAGCCGCCTAACGGGGATTGTGTTTAGTGACTCTGACTACCGTACGTGAAGGCCCGGGTTCGAATTCTTGGAAGACATGGATAATGTTTTTTGTGGCACGGGAGCACTGTAAATATACGGCGAGCCGAATGTCCTCTGGAAAGGTTGGTGGTATTAGAGAGAAGAGGCGTGGGAGGCTCTCAGACCCGTCCCTCACGAGGGCTTTCATTCAAAATTGGGGGCGGAGTTGAGCTTAAGCGGGGTTGTCACCCATCTCCAACCAATCAGGCGCACATGACTTCTTGGTACGATGAATGTCATGAGCTTGTGCAGATCTTTGTCAGACAAGTGAGACTTGTAACAGTAACAACGCATTAGTGAAACTCCTCATTACATTCCAGTATTTTATATACTTCTGAATAGTCATAACATTAATGAGATTTTAAAATCTGTGCAATAGAATGGGCTAAAAATTATTCCTCTACTTGCATTCTGAAATCAATAAAATTCCTCTAATCACACGTTTTGTCATTGCAATTTTGAAATTTCATGAGTACGTTATAAAAAAATATTGGAGCAATTTCATAATTTCGAAAGAGACTAACAACTTTAACATGATTCTTAAAAAATGAATCTACGACAGTTATTGAAGAAGCGGTACTCGAACTACCGTTGTTTTTTCAAAGTGCGAGAAACATACATGCATTCAAGGTGATTCTTCGTTATTAATTCCTTTAAATATAATGCAGGGCTCTAATATTTGGTGGTAACAATCTGAAAAGTGAACCAACGCAAAATGCCAAAACGAACTTAATAGCCCTTCTGGGATAACGCCCTCTGGGCTAATAATTTGTAAACTAGGTAAATCATTTTTAGTCTTTTTCTAATACCATAATATCAAGGTACACTTAAGCCAAAAAAAAAAAAAGGGGGCAGTTCCCTATCTTCTGTTCTACTGGGCCGATTGAAAAAACTCAACTTGCGTTTTTCATGTCTCGAAAGCACAACTTAGGATATATATTAGATTTATATATAGCATTGTTCTAATATAGGTATTTTGACACAAAATAGGACATTTTCTGTAATGAATTTGATTGGATTGGATTATTCAATTATGGCAGAGCACACGAGGGCTATCTCCTAAAGGGAGGGATGCCTTCGTGGAGGACTTTCTAACGGAAACTGGCTCGTATACACGTTACACATAGGGAAAACCAGGAAAACGCCCATGCAGCCAGACCGTTCGCGGTATTCGAACCTCGGACCGAACTACCAGTGTTCAGCGTCTTTACCGCTCGGTCGCCGGTGGGCTCTTTTTTCTGAATTGACATGCGATTTTTTTTCTATATTTCGATTCTATGACTCAAATTATGGCAATCATCCAAGTTTTGTAAAAATCACAGGAGTAGTTTTTAAAAAATTAGCTCTAAAAAATTTTAGCTCCTCAGTGTCAATTAAATTTGATATATATTTATTAATATTTTTTTAAATCAAACTTACTTGATTCCTTCTTCCAGAATTCGAAATTTAAGCTTAATCGAAATATAATTCGAATATTTTTATGACATATTTTTAAAATGTGAATTTTAAATATTTTTCATAAATTTTTCGAAACCATTTTTGTATTATAACTTATAAAATTTTTAACATCGTCTTAAAATAGATGTATATCTAGGCCCGCCTGCAAAAAATTAGAGTTTTTTATTGAAAATTTTCTAAGATATGCACGAATTTACATATTGGAGCGTTTTGAAATTATTATTATTTTTTTTAAAGCGATAATAACGCCAAATGTGGTTTAGGTACTTTGTTAAAATTAATTGAAAGTGTGAACGATGACCTTTTTCCCCGCTCGTGTACAGTAAAAAAAAAGAAAAATAGATTGCCATAAATTAAAAAATCGCCAAGTAAATTATTCTGGCTGAAAACTGAAAAAATTACGCCAAGATAAAATTTTGAATTTCTTCGTAAATTTCGCACCAAATTTTACAAAATTAATATTTAGGCATAATTTGAGTCATAGAATCGAAATATGGAAAAAAAAACGGCGTGTCATTTCAGAAAAAGTCCGATTTTGTGTCAAAACACCTATGTCAGAATGATGCTATATATAAATCTAATATATATCCTAAATCTCTCTTTCGAGACTTAAAAACCGCAATTTTAATTTCGTTAATCGGCCTAGTAGAACGAGAGATATAGGTCTTTTTTTTTTTTTTGCAGTATACACCTTAATAATTTATGGTAGGTCACAAACTAGTTAATAAAAATTGCAGAGCCATGAGAATATCAACGGGAAAAAAGAATTCGAAATATTAAAATTTCTTTTTTTTTTTTTTTTTTTTTTTTTTTGTGGATCTTTTAATGTGTCACAGCAGTGGTTTGTTCCCAGGACTCCTGCTGTGTGCAGAAGACAAAGAAATTCCTGCGAATTCACTGTGCCTTCTCAACCCTACAACTTTTGACGAACCAAGGTAAGCGAGGAACCAACTAAATATTTTCACACATTCAATCAGTTAGCAATATTCATACTCATTCTATATTGCTTGTAAAAGAAAACTACATCCCCCCTCTCCAGATAAAAAATAGACTCACAGGCCAGTTCAAAAAAAAAAAAAAAAAATCTGAAATGTTTCAGATTTTAAAACGTCCAAAGGGGCGTTTTTTTTAACATTGTGTGTGTACCTTTCTTTATTAAATATCATGTTCCTCGCACTTAACCATAAGATCCAGTGCAACAGCAATATCGCAAAATATTTTAAAACGAGCCTATCTTTAGAATTTCCGATACGAGACTCACGCGCTGGGGAGAAAAATGTTTTTTTTTCCACAACACGTTGCCATTGCTCGCTTGAAATCCTTGGTTTGTTCAAAAATTCGTCAAAGTTTTAAAAATAGGGAATCGATCATAAAACAAATTTCAAATTTCAAATTTGGTCTTCCACATGCTTATTCGTTGGGGATTACGTTATTCAAAATTCGATGACTATGTACCGTTGTTTTATAAGATCCACTACGAGAATTATACATACATTTATGCAGATTTTCCATATTTAAATTTCCTTCCAATATAATGCAGGACTCTAACATTTTGTGGCAACAGTTTGAAAAGTGAACCGACGTTTATGAGTCCGACGCAAAATGCCAAAACGAAACTAATAGTCCTTCGGGATTCAAATCCCTTTGGACTAAAAAAAAAATTGCATAGAGCTCTTTAAACAAGGAATCAGAGCAATACCGTTACTAAATGACTTCGAATATAAGCTGCATTCTTTATTTAAAACTTTAAAACATTAAATTAGGCTAGGGCATAAATTCGAATCAAATACTTTGACATTTGATGTTTGTTTAGAAACTACCTTAAAACGATTGATTTATTTCATAGCTTATTATTTTTTTTATTAGTAATAATTTAAGAAAATGAAAATGTTTTTCTCAATACCTATCATGAAATCATTTTTGCTCTTTATTATGTTTAGATTTACAATTTCTCCAGGGCGGATATTTTTCGTTACTTTTTCCAAATTTCTAGTTATTAAATCTGACTGCAATATAATGCATTAGTATTAACACAATTAATAATGCATTACATTGCAGTCAGATTTAAAAACTAGAAACTAAATGCAAAATAATGTATTATTAATTGTGTTATGCCCTGACACTAACTGATTTAATTGCTAGGAGGTGGAAGATACAATGTGTCTCATAAATAAATTTAGATGCTTTAAAAAAATTTAAAGTAGACACCACGTGACTTCCTTATACGGCCTATTAAATTGTACATATTTCTGCTGCATTTCATTTAAACTTATTTCCTCGACTTGCATTAGAGATATATTTCTCATTCAATTAATTCAGTTTTCACTTCGCGGCAGGCCAAAATATATAAACATTTTAAACCATCTTCATTAAAAATTGCAAAATGCAGAAAAACACAAAACACCAAATGCAGTTAAAAACAATTAAAAAAAACCCAATGTTTATTAAAATTAAGTGTTTTTTAGCTAAAACAAGTAATTTGGACAGAGGGTTGAAAGACAGATTTTTTCGGTTGCACAAAACTGAAACTTTACTTCTGGTCCCACTCGGCAAAAGACACTGAATTTGGTGCAGAAATTTACTTAATTCACTATTCCAGTAAGTTTCAAATGCAAACAAATTGAGGCTTCGTTAGGTATAGAAGCACGTAAACAACTTTTAAATTGTTAGTAATTCTACAAATAATTGCAAGCAGATTAACTAAAAGCATAAAAATCTTCAGCGGAACATAAGAACAACATAATTTATCCACTCTGAAAGCAAAAAATACTCAATTTATCAACGTATAAAATTTTAAAAAAAATGAAGTCATCAAGCCGGATAACAGAGCGAGTATATATACTGTTATTAGAAAAGTTTTACAATCGATTACCAAAAAGGGAGGTGCACAACTACATGTTATCGCAGTTCCATGCACAAAACTTCAACGTCCTGAGGCTGCTCGTTTTTGAATTATGCGACATACTTATGTACAGACGTCAAGAAAAATTGCCTTTAAATCCATTTTACAAACCGCTTTCGGAAAAAGAGTCTTTTATTCTGTCCGTACGTACAGATGCCACGCAGAAAATCGTTTAAATGGATTCGAGAGCGGTCAAAATAGATGTTTTCGTTTAACTCTTTCGCATCGAGAGACGACCAAATCTGTTTTCAACAAACATCGAAAACGCCCGTGTTTACGAATTTGTCTTGGAACTCGTTTCCTTCCCCTTGCTGCTCTTGGGTTTCTGCGGTTCTCCCTGGTGAGTTTCCCTTAGGGCGGATTGCACCTGCGAACGTCATTGTACCTGCGAAATAGCTTCCGTATTTCTCCTTATTTGCTTCATAAGAATGATGACATGTCTTTACAACTCCGAAACCAATGAGCATACACTAACGTGGAGGGGCAAGAAGTAGGTAGAAAATAAAGGAGGCGTTGAGGCGGTTTGCCGTTGCCTGAATGAACGGGCGTTACGGGCGGCTTCGATGCGAAAGAGTTAAACACGATAATCGAAATTTTTCACGATTACGATACTTACTTTACTTTGTACACGGAAGTAAAAATTATAAAATCAAATTTGGTTTGCATCTAAAAACTTATTACAGGTTTTTTTTAGCAAAGGTATTATTTTATTTCAAATTTTGACTGATGATGATACGGTAGCGTTAATATTGCAAACAATTTAATTTTAAATTCTTTAATACAATGCAAATGGGAGCTGAAAGTATACATTATAAATAGTACTATAATACACTCGCAAATACAAGGAAATGAAAGCTGTGCAATCAATTAATCCGGAGCCTATACAGGGTGTTTCAAAATTTATCGTTCACATTTCGTGGGGAGGTAGGGAAGACGTCAGGAAATCGATTTCAAATAGGAAAGTATATCCGCAAATCTACCTGAACAAAATGGACAAGTAGTAGAGGACGTAGGCACCATCCCATTACCATTACGGTTAATCGGTTCTGCCCACGTCCATCCTTGTCTAGTATTTATTAATAATTCTAAAATTTTTACATTGCCATATATTGTGGTTGATTTACAAATAAAGTCTATACAATAATTGTATTTACATTATTATCATAACTTATCACATAAATTTTGGTTGGAGAATTTTCTGTAATGAATTTCTTTCTTTTGCAATTTCTCTTTATTTTTAAGCAGCCTATATATCGTATTTACGCGAATCTAACGCGCATCGTTTTTGGCCAAAGGTAGTATTCAAAATTGGGGTGCGCATTAGATTCGATGGCGCATTAGATTCGAGTGCAAGTTCGCCGATGACCGTGAATTGACCCGACAGGTAAATTAAGGTGTGCTGCACCGCACATTGTGCACTGAGTTTTCTGCTGCGGAAAAGCATCGAAGCCCAAAGATTGTGAAATCTTTCAGAAATGCGCATTTCAATTCACTGAATGGCAGTGAAGATGACGAGCTTCTAGAACGCCGAGGAGGACATGCTGATGATGATGATGATGAGGAAGAAGAAATAATCTGCGTCTGACGAAAGAGCGCGAGGATTCCAGTGATGAAAACAGTGAATAAAGACGTTTACTATTAATCACTAATTGTAGAAACTGTTAGCTAGATAGATTTGTTACGATTTATTTCATGTTCATATTTTACGATAGGTATCGTATAATACGGTAGTGGTAATTAACAATGATTGTTTCACATACAATTGCCCACTAATAGGTTAATTCTATGGTTCTATCATACCTAATTATGATAAATCCATTGTTGTATAAAAGATTCAATAAATTCCGCATATCATTGATCGCTTACATTCGCCGACAAACAATTTTTTTATTTATTTAAGTTTTAAAATGGGGATGGCGCATTAGATTCGCATAAATACGGTATATTATTTCTTTATCTTAAAGTTTCTCTTTTATTATTTGCACCATTTCAACTAGAATGTTGTCTATGTCCTCTTGCTAAATTCCTTTCATTTTGCTGCAGTTCTTTCATGAGTTTCTCAGTTTCAAGGTTTCTATTATACCTTATATATTGTGCTAATGTCTTAGATATACTAGAATAGATCAAAATAGTACTTTTTCTTTCTTAAGTTTTTCGCCTTTTCCTTTTATGTGTCATTGAATCCTATCTGTCTTTGATCACACCGAATCAACATGGGTATGCTTTCTTGCAACTTGATTTTCAAGTTTATAATATCTTTAGGACAATTTAACTACCAATGCGTCATGGCTTCATAATGGCGAAAAGTCGGTATTTATTTATCGTTATTTGAATGCATGTATATTTTAAACATAATATAATGAAGAACTAGAATGTTGTCTATGTCCTATGTATAATATAATGGGCAAGTAACACAAGGAAACAGTACAGTTAAGTGATAACGATGTGACTTTTATTCCAACAAGGTAAAGTAAAGGTTCACAGTAGGTGCTCAATATTGCGATCACTTACACAAACACAGGATTCACAGCGGCGTTGCACTGGCCGCCGAATATTTCCATAAACGCCTAGCATATCACGAACAGGTCCTGCAGCGGCCACTATTCGTACAGAAAGGTCCATTTCACTATCGACGAGAGTCTCGTACACATGTTCTTTCATGGCCCTCCACAGAAAGAAATCCATGGGCGATAAATCAAGTGGCCAACCGGTCGGTCCACCTCTGCCGATCCATCGATCTTCGAATGTTCGATTCAGGTAATCACGCACATCAGTTGTGCTATGGGCTGGAGCCCCGTCATAATTGATACCACATATCTCAGCGGATATGCGCAGGAATAGCGCCCAGAAAAGTCAGTAACACTGTCTCGAGAAAGACTAAGGCATTTTCGGCAGTCCACTCGGGGCGGTAGCAAGTAAGGTCCCAACAAACAGTCACTAATAATTTCAGCCCACCTATTTCTGGCAAAACTATGTTGCGCAGTGTACGAGAAGTGTGTGTAGTGAACAAACCTTCACGATTGAATGAAGCTTCATCTGTTAAAAGGAGCTTGAAAACTGGAGTCCACGGCACCTTTCTGTATGAACCATTGTGCAAATTCCACACGCTTCGGATAATCGTTAGGATGCAGTAACTGCATCCTTTGCAGATGGTAAGGATGTACTCGTTCCTCGTGCAGTATCCGCCACATCGGATGGACTGAGGGATTTGTTTTGCGACGTTGACAGTACGCGTCAGTCGTCGTCTCCCCCGTATCCTGCATTTTGCTGCGCAGGGAACCACGTACGCACAGATTCTGATGCGCACGTGCATTTGATGTTGTGGTATTCTTCTGTTTGGGTATCGGTCTTCGTAAACTTGTCTAGCTCGGTGGCCGCTTTCGCCAGCTGCTCCATATGCGAGATGTATATCTGTTAGCTCTTGATGTGTAAAACGATTCATCTCATCACTAGTAAATCAACTCGTACACTGATGACAAAGGAGTGGTCTGTACACTGGTTGGGTACACAGAACGCCCTCGCATACATTTGCGGACACACTTTCCCATGTTAAACCAGTTACCTGACGTCTTCCCTACCTCCCTACGATATTTGAACTGTAAGTTTTGGAACACCCTGTATCGAAAAATCTGCATTTATACAAAAGCATTTTATCTCTTCATCCATGAAGAAATATTCTTTGCATGTGCATTTCAAGGTTATTTGCTCAAACTTTAAATATGCAAATTTTATTTTCTCCTTTCATGGAAAAAAAAAAAAGAGAGATGAGGTTTTAGGCGATACATGTTGTTGGCTGGTAGCCTAGGCAAATTTATTTCTAAATTAGTCTAGCGTTTTAGATGACAATACACGCAATATTTACGGCTTGATTTACACAAGCGCAAACGGTACACATGCCCTGCGCCTATGTTTTAGGAGGCCTCCAAATCCTTCTAAAATATTTAATGTAGAAAAACAAAATATTCAATAACCTCTTTCAATTCTAATTAAAAAACCTAATATTAAAAGCAGAAACGAAATTGTATTTTAGCTTTTTACACCTTTCTTTAAAAATCAGGCCTTGGATCGTCGTGTTGATATCTCATCGGAGAATGACAGTACTGAGAGACGCCTCGATTTATAAATAGCTAACTCGTAGAGCTACGTGCTATCGTGTGGCCAGCGCATTCGACGTGAATATGAGGGTAATTTTTTCCGAACTATGCCCTGATTGTTTATTATCACTTTCCGCAGTATTGTATAAAACAATATAAAAATTTTTAAATAATATTAAAAGTCGTTAACTTAGAATTTCAGTATAATTGGATGCAAATTAAATGATAAACTTATACTGCCATCTTGTGACTGCAGAGTAAACTAATGCTAGTAATAATTACTAACTGAAATAACAACCAAGTGCCCATACCGAAAGCAGAAAAAATGTCCTTGAGCTTTCACTTTAACAATGTCTATTTTTGTAAATTTTGTCATTTTTAAAAACTTTTATTATTAAATCAATTATTCAATGCTTAAAAATTCCTCGCAATAAAGAGTTTTTTTTCCTGCTGTTTCCATAGCTAGAGTTTAATCTATCACGAGTATTTTAAAAAATTAATTAATTTCAAGCTAATTGTTCACTTCTATTGACTATTCTAATTAATAAATTTATTCGCAATAATTTTAAAAAATATGCACATTTATATGTGCCTGTGCATGGGCGTATATCAACAAAATGTATATATGTACACTTTCTTCCCTTAGGGATATTTTTTTGTTCGATTATTTTAGTGACGCTTATTTTTTCTGCACTTTAATATCAGATGAAATTTCACTTGACTCCCAATCTTTAAATAGAATATTCTCCTTTTCATATTGCATCAATTTTTATGCTGTACTAATATATCAATACTTTAATAACAATAATATTTTATTTCAATGAAAATTTAAGGGACCGTCAGTAACTAATCTGTGAAAAACAATTTAGCTTAAATTGAAAGTTCCATCTCCAGCGCATTTTTCCTTCACAAACGGCTTTTTCATATGATAAATGTCTGTAAAAGTCACGATTGTAAGGTATTCACGTCCAATACTAAATAGACTGGCAACATAATTTCCAATAATATAATTTGTTAAGCATCAACTCAATATTGTTTAAATAAAATATATTTAAACTAAATAAAATATATTTAAGCTACAGTTACTGGTTTCCCTGTTTTGTAACTTCTATTAAAATCCAAGAGATGGCGACACTATCTCACATGATGTTCCCGTTAGCTTGTTTGTTTACTGGTTCTTACTTTTCAAATGTTTGAAATAATTTCTGTGTGAGTCGATACTTCGGCTTTCTATTTACAGTATCAGTTTTTTCTAGCCATGAATTAACCAATGAAGGCTTAGTAATGAGACTCACTATATTAAGTCTTGTGTTTCTCCCAAAAATTTACAAAATTTTCATTTTCGTCAGCCATCACTCTGAACATTTTAGGGAAACAGTGTGTATATTATTCACAAATGGATGTATGAATATTCTGTGTAATTTATTTCTTCTTAGCTCATATCATCTTTTCGAACTTCTAGCAATCAAACCGAAATCTGGCAATCGTGTTTAATGAGATGAAAATATAACCCACGTACGTTGCCATTCATGAATGAAAATACATCGCATTGCTCTAATTAGTCCAAAGGGAGTAATTTGCCCTGAAGGACTATTAATTTCGTTTTGGCATTTTGCGTTGAAAACTATAAACGGCGAACCACTTTTCAAATTGTTGCCATCAAATATTATCGCCCTGTATTATATTTAAAGAAATTAAATAATGAAGAATCTGCATGAATGTATGTATATTTCTTGCATTGTGATAAAACAACGGTACCTAGAGCCATCAAAATTTGAATATAGGCATGTGAAAGCCCTAATTTAAATTTGAAATTTGTTTTATTATCGATTTCAGATTTTGTAACACTTAAGCGAATTTTTGATTAAAAAACTCAACGATTTCAAAGCGAGTAAACGGCAAAACACTGTACAAAAAACAAACAAACAAACAAAAAATTATCTCCAGCACCGCTAGACTCCGTATCAGAAATTTTAAAGATTATGCTCATTTTAAAATTATTTTGGGATATTGCTGTTGAACTAAATTTTATGGTTTGAGTACGTAAAACATGATATTTAATAAATAAAGGTAACGCACAAAACGTTAAAAACCCGCCTTTGGACCTAATTTAAAATCTGAAACCTTTTTTTTTTTATTATTTATTTATTCAATTTTAGTGAGGTAACAATCACCAAGAAATTTTTCGTTTTTTTATTTTAAACTTTCTCAGTTTCAGTCTGATGATATGAAAATATTTGGTCCCTTCAGAGTCACTGAAAATTGGGCTCTTTTGCCAGTTTAAAAAAAAGAAATTGTTAGAAACTTTCGTCTTTTCATTTGAAAAATAGTACTAGAAGTTACCAACGCAAAATAAAATATCAAAATATTTCGCCTTATCTTTTTATATCGCTATTTTTTATTTCAAAATCATTTGTTACATCAAATTTAGTATATTTAATAAACTAATTCAGAGAAAAACGAGATATTTTTCAGTCTAATCTCATGTTTTCTTGATTACAGAGTTATGAAGCCATACTGGTTGACACATTCATTAATAAGAATTTATGAATTTCCTGTGGGACATCAAATAACTACATTTCTTGCAAAGCGGATGATACAGAAACGTCAGCTGAAGGAAGGGAACTTCGGAGAACACTTCCTTGGCTCTCTTACTATGTGTCATTCTTCAGTACCGAAAGTAAGATTTCTCTCTTGCATGGAAAGGCCCACCAGCGGCCGAGCGGTAAAGACGCTGAACACTGGTAGTTCGGTCCGAGGTTCGAATCCCGCGAACGGGCTGGCTGCATGGGCGTTTTCGTGGTTTTTCCCATGTGTAACGTGTATACGAGCCAGTTTCCCTTAGAAGTCCTCCACGTTCCCTCCTCTTAGGCAGATAGCCCTCGAGGCTTTGCCATAATCACACACACACACACTTTCATGAAAATTCACGACTGCTTTAATAATGCTTCTGCATTCGGATAAATTTTCAAGTCTAAAGACACTTAAAAAATGAAATCAATAAGATTTGTCGAATCGAATGAGTTACATTTGAAGCAAACCCCTGTATTAACTTGTGCAAAATATTTTGTCCTTTTTTTAGGCATTTAATGGAATCAGAGTAGTAAGTAAGAAGAACTAAGAATCCAAAGTTGTAGTATTCTTTCTAGAACTGCTGAAATTTTAAAAGTTCAGACAACTGAAGTGGTGCAGTCGTCGCCAAGGTGCGTGAAAATTTGCCAAATGTGGGCTGCCATTAAATATGAAAGCTTGACCGCGTAGTTTTGGAGTGTTTAAAATTTTAGATAATTTGAGAATCGTACGTAGTTACAAAGATATAGTATTAAAAGAAGAATTATTGAAGCTTTCAAAAAATTTTACGCTTTGGGAAGATATAGTTATCGATGGATTCAATTATAATGACGTAGTGAATTTATTCGTTAGTTAAGAACCATGGAGCTCTGAATATCTTCATTTACATCAAAACATTAAATTGCAAATAACCCATAGCAAATCGCAAGTACAAACCAGGCCCCAGAATACCAAGTCTCAAAATCGATAACAATTAAATCAAATGCATGAAGACTATCAAACATCTTAGCCTCATAGCAAGTCATAAACTCACATGGTTTCCTTACCTGCTAAACAAAAGATTAAAAATAGCTAAAATACCAAAATCCCTCATACAAAATGCCTCTCAGGACTTCAGTGTCTTACAGATATTGAACGAGTATCATAATATTAAAACGCATCTCTATTTGAATAAGGCGACTTTGTTAACTTTGATTTAAGGCAACTGGACTTTTTTCGAAGTTCTAGTTAGTTCAATCGGCCAACGCTGATATGTTGCAGTCCTGACTGAAAATTGATTTCAGACGCCGATAAAGTTAACAGATTTTTAGATATCAACATATTAAACTTAACTTTCATAGCTGAAATTTCAATTTTGATTTGCTTTTTTATGCTTTCAAGTATTTAATTTTAAATTTGCACTAGAATAAAAATCTATTGTCGTGAAAAAATGTAAAAATGTACATTCTCTTTTGAAACAATGCGTAAGTCATTTTGACAAAATTTAAGCATTTCTTTGTTAAGTTCCTCATTTTACAACGGTACTTACGAAAAATCCCGTCAACCACAGGAGACGGCACCAATCGCGCCAACCCCCCCCCCCAAAAAAAAATTACTAAATACAAGAAAAAAACGTTCTATTCTTATTTTTCTTTCAAATTTATTATATTATCATTTATTTATATTTAATTTTTCATTACAAATTTCCATTTTTTTAATTTATTATTGCGTCTCAGTTTTTAAATAAAGCTTCATTTCGTGGCCATTAAGACATTTTTTTGAGCGCGGTAAGATTCCATATCTTTGGAAATATTCAACAGCTTGCTCTACTGTAGTAAGCAGATCCCAAACTTCAATCTTTTCTTTTTTTTTTTTTTCAAAAGTGCGTGATAGAGGGGGAAAAACGAGTTTACTCAAGACTAATAACTAACACGTGTAATCAAGGTTACACCCAACCCAGCGTGTTTGAAGAAGACTTTTCCATTTTTGGCGAAAAACTGCGTAGTTTGACGTCTTTTCTTTACTAGGCAAAAATAGTCAAGTATTTTCATTAAGTACCGAAAGCTATTTTCCCATTTCCTAATCACATAAAAGAATCCGCCCACCAGCGGCCGAGCGGTAATGTCGCTGAACACTGGTAGTTCGGTCCGAGGTTCGAATCCCGCGAACGGGCTGGCTGCATGGGTGTTTTCGTGGTTTTCCCCATGTGTAACGTGTATACGAGCCAGTTTCTCTTAGAAAGTCCTCCACGAAAGGCATCCCTCCCCTTAGGCAGATAGCCCTTAGTGTGCTTTGCCATAATTAAATCACACACACACCATAAAAGAATCCATATAATAACTTTAAATTTTGAAAAATCAAAAAATTCTATTCAAAGTAGGTAATGTATAACGTCAGAAATAGCCTTATTAATTACAATAACCTGAAATTTTTAAATGAAATAATCATTTGGATAAATTATAAATAAAATGTCGTTTAAACAATACGAATTAAGTGAGTATTAAAGCTAAAATAAATACATTATTGAGAAAAAGTCTGATCCTTTATTTATTAAGCATTTAAATAATATGTAAATTTGGGAAGTAAAGTAAGGATCTTTTATATTCCCAGAAAGCGTAATTCTCAAACGTGGCTATTTGCAGGGCGCGTGGAAGATAAATTTAAGGTCCTGTATGACAGCCTTGCCTGGCAGCATGGATTGTTAATGTATTAAAAGCGTAGCATGTCATAATGGTACAAAAATTTGCAAGGGTACACTATTTCTCATGTCAAAATTTCAAACATTGCTAACGTCAAAAGCTAGTATTTTTCTCGTTGGAAAATAGCAGACTCAAATTTACCTACAGAAAAGCATCTGATAATTATCAAACTCATTTTTGAATTTAAAGAGCTCAGTATCTTGTCAATATCTACATTTGTCATAAGACAGGAAAATGGTTACCATTTTAGATAATTTATTTTGAAGCATTTTTAAAAGAGGATGGAATAATAAAAGCAAAACAATTACTATTAAATGTTTCAAGTACTATTTATTCATTATTTGCTTATTTTACTCCATCTTATTTTTTTTAGCAAGCCGTACATTTTAAAAATCTGCTGGACAGAAATTTTCCCATCATGTTGGCCTTCAGCGAAAATGATAAATTAATTGCTAAAGCATCTTCATATAGAATGGCGAAGATGATGATGGACGAAAATGATGTACAAAGATATGACAAAGATGGAAAGCTGGATAGAGCTGGTAAATAAAATTTTTTTCTTAATCACTAAAAAATGGCAATAATTTCTATCTTTACCGCATGAGCTGTTAAAAAACCCTGATACTAAAAATTTCACTGCAAAAACTTTCCGAAGCGAACGATGAAAAGTATCGAGATTCGAAGACACTAAATTTTATCTTTCTTATACAAAGCGAAAAGATATAAATATATTATTGAAAACAATCAATAAAACTTTCAAGGCAATACGCAAGTTCTCCTCTTAAAAACCTGCATTAATCTAATATATATTCGTATTTATGTATATATTTATATTTTTATATTTTCAATGTATTTATATTTATTATTCCCAATAGATTCGATCACACGAGTATTTCAAACAATGAACTTAATAAAAAAACTTCTTACAACAGTTAAAATGACCGTTAGAATACGTTTGACGAATGTACTGCCCGTGTACTATGAACACTAGAGTGTGTGATAAAATTTGTTCAACCGAAATCAAATGATACATTATCGTAAATAGATTTTTATATTGCATACTACTACTGCTTACTATGCAATGCAGATCTTGGCGGCATCTTTCGTAAAACAAAAGCTTAGCTGATGTTATTTTCTGGTTATATAAAAAAACATTTCTCAAGTTTATAAAATACCTGGAAGTCTCATATGCAAGTGCTGTGGTTATAATCTCAGACCCTGTGTTATATTAATACTATTATTTCATTCTTTTCAAGCGATATGTAAAACAAGTATAACTTACCTTCAGGTACTTTGAACTTTGCTGACTGGTGCAATAGGATTGAACGGATAATGCAATAGGCATATTGTCACCCATATTTGAAGATTTTGCCCTAAGGCAATGGCTTTAACTTTCAGTTTAAGCATCTTACTATGCAGCCGATAAGGCGATATCACAAATTTGTGTTTTAAACACGAAATTATAATATTTGATTCAGTTTGATCGTTTGTTGCAAACTATGTAGAATCGTCGAAGCAGAAGAAAATCTACCCGAGCCGGTGGCGGTCTCTGCTTTATAAGGTTATCGAACAAAGTCTATGGCTTGCTTTGTCTCTCGTAACCTTAGTAAATGCAGAAGTCTTGCTTAGCGCCGCTTGGCTATAATTTTGATGTAGAATTTTCACAATTCGGGCATTGCGATGTATCGAGCGAGATCGTTTACCGGATTTTTCTATTGTAGGATTGTAGTCTGTGAGTTGTCGATGATGGAGATGATTCGAATTACGCAGTTTCTCAAAACGTTTATGGTTGGAGTTTACGATGAAATCATGAATATTGTTTATTTTGAGTTCTTGGCGAAACTGAGCATTTCTTACGAACGAAAGGGGGGGGGAGCGTTTATAATAGTTCTGAGAATTTTACTGGTGGATTCGGTGAGCTATACGAAGATGCAGTTAGTCCAGCCTGAAGTAAACAGAGTAAAACATGAATAGCTATTAACTGTTATACTGCATCAATTTTTTTTTGTTGTTGTTGTTTTGTATCTTTTTGTATGAATATTTAAGATAAACCTTTATTTTCAACTCAACAGAATATCAGATTTTTTTATCTTTCAAATAAGTTTTTTTTTTAATTAATTAATTTTACCACAAATACATTTGGCTTTGTACTTTGGAAAACCTGGGAAAATGCTTGTGTAATTTCCCATACTCGGTGCCTTAACTGATTTCTGAAGCGGGCAAGCTGTAAATTCACTGAACATTGGTAATTCAACCTGGGTTCTATCCCAAGTAAAGGGGTTAGCTGCATAGGCATTTTCGTAGTTTTCTTCATGTGTAAAGTGGATAAGAGCATAAGCATCTCTCCCTCTAGGCAGATAACTCTTACGTGCTCTGCCGTAACCAAATAAACCAGCTATTCCCAACCAGAGGTATGCAAGAGAAAAATAGATGGTACACAAAGAAACAAAGAATTTTTAGCTATTAAATTAAAAAATGTTAGGAAGGAAAAGAACAATTGATCAATATTTCGTGTGACCGAACTCTAACTGAAGATTTCAAAAATAACACACTTGTTGACTTTTGGCTGAACCGAAAAAAATAATTTAGTGGCATTTCAAATAAAGCTATTAATTTTTTTATTGTCATTTTGCACAACCTATTTGTGTGAACAAGGATTTTCTTCCACGTTGTATTTGAAAACTTAACATCCAGTGCCATCCACTAAAATTTTTAAAAAAATGTATTTGAACTTGAGTGGATGAATAAAAAGTATTTTATTAACGATTGAAAATTCGATATAAAGATATAGGAAGAGTGTGAGCTAATTGTAGAAATTTAAAAAGAAATTCGATAAATTCTTAACGATAGAAATAGTAATATAATAAAACTAATAGCATGTCATAAAGTTAATCATAAAATTAGGCAAAGCAACAACTTGTATTTGGCGTAGATTTTAGTCAAGACTCCACTGATTTAGAAACCAAATCTTCTAAGCAGATATCTTTACTTCTGATGAAGAGGGGCCTTACCTCTTGCCCTCGAAATCGATAGAATCTTGACCAAAATCTAAAGTCAAACACAAGGTTGTTGATTTGTCTAATTTTATGTTTTACTTTGGTGTGTTTCTCTTCTGTCTTGATTTCGATTAATACTAGATAAAAAATGTAAAATAAATAACGGTACTTACGTATTATCTCAACCACTTTAGTATAAATCACCACAGATTCGGAGTACATCAAACTCTGATAGTAACGAGCATAACAATTTTTCAGGCAACCATACGCATGACACAAATTCAGTTTTTAACGTCGCCATTTTCGTATGCGTTCTTTTTGTTGTATTCCATGGTCCAACGGCTTTTATAGGAAAATTACGGTTATTATTATTATTATTATTTTTGTCTTAAACTCAATTTTTTAAAATTTGTCCTTGTAGGATTTTCCTATAATAGAAGAAAGAGAGGTGAGTAAAATCCTAGTATACGGTGCAGCCTTGACGCGACTTTGAAAATTATCGCCAACACCAAAAAAGAACGTCTATATATGTATACTATACACTATATACTATGTGTGTATATACATAGTATATATACTATATACATAGAATATACTATGTTTAACTATATATTTTCTATGAATGACCCGTTAACTAACTACTCATTGTATATATCTCCCGTCTTGCTCATCATAAAGTCGCCAAAAGTAGCCAAATCCCATATGCACCGGATACTAGGATAAAACCGGGAGGTGAAATTTCGGCTAATCTTTGGAATATGGTAACAGTAGTTTGGCGACATTTTGGTAAGGCGATAAAGGTTACTAGCTAGGACATTAGCAGTGTACATGGATAAAGTCAAGAGTGTGCGCACTGCTATTTTTGTGCAATACTGGGATTTTTTTTTAAGTGAAAATAGGTCGACGTGTACATGAATGATACTGTGTGTGTGCAATTCGTAAAAACGCGGCAAGCAGTGGACGATTCTGCACTTTCTCCCAATTTCGCACCTAATCTTCGTCATGATTAAGCATTTTTGTTCCATAAAAGTTCTAGTATAAGTGGCTAATTCGGCTAGCAGATTGTTGGAAAAAATGCTGAGTAAAAAAAAAAAAAAAACATGTTTTTACTTCGTGAAAACAAAATGGCGTCCAAAACAAAACTAGCAGGTTTCTGTAGCAGGATTAGTCGCCAAGTTACCATAATCCGAAGATTAAACGAAATTTCAGCAATGCATTATTTTATCGCAAAATTGCTAAAGGAACAATGCTTCGAATTCTTTCTGAAAATGATTGCTATGAAATTTCCCCGACAACGAAAACCCGTGTATTACTAAATTTACTGGTTACCTTTTAGGATAACTATTGAGCTGAAACGTAGAATAAAAACGTATATTTTACAATAAAAGTAATCGTCCTTTCCCTTTCTAAGAGTCGCCAAACTGCGCCAAGGTGGTTGCTATGATACGTTAGCACTTAACTATGTAAACAAAGTGAAACAAAATTTACAATATAACCAGAAATATATAGACTTCGTATGATAAAATGAAATATAATTCTATTTAAGGACCATATTAATTAGATCTGAAAAATGGTAAGAAATAGTAGTTTTAAATCAATATATTTAAAAATGTTAGTAAGAGTTTTATTCAATTAGATTCGTTAGAGATAAATTAACGATATTGAAAAGATATCAGAAATGACTGATATATATATTCATAAAATAAATCTCTCTTTTAAACACGTATTTAATGAAATCGAAATTATTGTTAATAATTAAATCTATACCTAAATTATTTATTAGTTTTTGAATAACATTTTGAAGTATTTTAGAAGATTTAACTATTATACAATGTGCGCCTATAAAGTAACCGGACAATTTTTTATAAATAAGGGAAAGATTACTAACCTTCAAATAAATTTATCTCTTGTCAAATAATTGCCATAGGGGTCTACACAATTTTTCCAAAGTTTCTTCAGGTCATTGAAACACAGTTTATAAGCGTTGGCACTAATAGTTCGCTAAATACGTAAAACATTTTATTTAATATCCGAGACGTTTCGAATCTCTGCCTTTTCACGGTCATCGTAAACTTCGGAAAAAAGAAAAAAAATCAGCTGACGATCAGTCAGGAGAATATAGTGGATAATCTATCAATGCAATTGAATGCTTAGCAAGATACTGATGTATAGGGTCCAGCATTATCGTGTAAAAGAAATCTTCTCCCAGAATGAAAAAGGTTCCTTCCTGGCTGGCTTTATCCTGTTTCTTAATTGAAAAAAACACCTCCTCGTAAAAATGCTGATTAACTGATTCATTTTCAGGGACAATTCATGGTTAATGAATCCTTCGTAATCAAAAATTACAATCAACATCATTTTAGTCTTTGCTTCGACAACCGTGCTCTTCTTTTGGCACTATTCGGTTTTGAGGGCCGTAAAAAATCGCCAAACTATTGTTAATGCCAATGCTGCCAAAAATAATTGCGGCAACCCTAATAATTGCGGCAAGAAAGGAAGTATAATAGTAAATAACTACCTAAGATTGATGTTTTAATTTAGATGAAAGGTTAATTTCATGTAATACATTTTTATTATTATAATTTATATGAAAGGCTAAACATGACTGAATGGAAGCATATGAGTAAATAACTATTTCAGATAATTTTTATAATTTATATAAAAATTGCTAAACATAACTGAATGGATGCCTGCATCGCTATTTCGCTACCGACTTATCGCTAAAGCATAATTTCATCTCGTTGGTTGTTTAAACGTAATTTTCGATAATGAATGATGCCTTTTCTTTGAAAATATTCTCGGTAAAGTGCAGAATCGTTCACTTATTTGTTTGCCGCTTTTTACAAGGGTAAAAACAATTGGATTTTTGTCAATTTTCTTTTACTTTTTAAGTGAAAATAGGTCAATGTGTACATAAATAAAGTCAAGGGTGCCATTTTTGTGCAATTCATGGATTTTTCTTTTTAAGTGAAAATAGGTCGATGTGCACATGGATACCGAGTATGGGCAATTCTTAAAAACGCGTCAAGCAATGGGTGATTCTGCACTTTACCCAAAATTCTATTGCCGAGTTTTCTTCATGGGCAATTCCCAAATTGTTAAATCCATAATATATCAAAAAAGGATTTAAAAATTAAACTACTACTTCAATGGCGTCTTAAAATATAGAACTATATAAACTTACGGAATCTGAAATCAGCGCGTACGCTAGATTTGGCGCGCTGTTAAATGGGCGAGTTTGCTAGATTTGGCGCTTTTGCGCGTACATTTTCATTACAAATTTTTTACGGCCCTCGAAACCGAACAGTACCTTTTTTTTTTTTTTTTTTTTCTTTCAAGCTTTCCTGGCTTGTTTTTTTGTTTTGTTTTGTCAAAATCCCAGGCACAGATCGAGCACAAACATTCCCCCTTTTCAGACTTTCAATTAAAATTAACGTACAGCTTTCTTAGCTTAGTCCAAGCAGCGTTGCCAGATCATGTGGTTTTTCGCAAATTTGCTACTTTTGACAAACTTTTGCGACTAAACTTTGTGGGTGATTTTGCAAAAGTTTTGCTAGTCTATGATTTCCTTGTGCAACTTTAAAAATTTTCAATGCATTGTAAAACGTTTATATATTAAAATAACGTATCTGATAAAATAATTTATTTAATTTATTAAAGGAAGTTTCCTATCGTTTTTTAAAGTTTTGATTTTCTTTGATAAAAAATTTTAATTAATAATTTATTTAATCCATATAATAAAATCTGCGGTAGTATTTCTTCATGCCTTCTTCTTACAGCTATGAGAATTTAAAGGTTACGTTTTTTTTTCTTTTAATTTTTAGGAGGTACAAATCCTTTCCGAAAAGCAATAGCTTTTGAAAATGGGTCTCATTATATCTTCAAGAAGTATCCTGACATCATCTCAGAAGCCATAGCAACATTTCTATTCCAGCATTTTGATAATCACATGCATTAAGTTGCAATAAACTCCGAGAAAGTTCTTCGAATCTTTTCCATCAGAATATTTGCAGGACACGCTCAACCTACTTCAGTTCTGCAGAACTTTCAGACTTTGTTGAATGAAGTTGATCAATGTTTTCATTGCTGTCTTGGTAAAAAGTATACTAATTTAAATTTTTTAAGTCTTTTGGTGATATTCATTGTACATGTTATCCTATGTAATTTATTTTATAATAATAATGTCGTAAAGGTATGGCACCTATGATAAATTTTGATAGTTGTAATTTTTGTCATGGTAATTATCTAGAAATCAAATTTTTATATTATATAAAAAATTTTAGCTTAAATTCAAAAGGTCTGTGTTTAACTAAAGGCCTGCTTTAAGAAAGATATCATTGTAAAATATATTTGGAACTACTCTAATATGTGCCCTCAGGTCGCCAAATTTCTCGCCAAACATTTTTGGCGAGAAAATCCACGCTGCCATATTACTATCTAAATTTTTTGTTTACATTTCGAACTTTAAGCCTAAAATGTCAACAAAAACGCGGTTTTCGCACATGCAAAAACCACGTTTGAACACATCATTTAAGCTAAACATCTGGAACATAAACAAAAAAACTTTAGATAGCAAAAACGTAAAGTTTCTACCAAAAATATTTGACAAGAATCCATGTATACAGCGATATATTTAAACTTAAAAAAAATCTACGAATTGCACAATCTAGGCAACGAACGAATCTACAAACTACGCACATCTCACTTTAATAAATTAACATAACAACAATAAATTTCAAAGCATCCTGTTTTAAACAAGCATGTACACAGCATCCTGTTTTAAACTTTGAAAAACATCTACGAATTGCACAATCTAGACACTGCGCACAAATCAACCAACTAAACAAAATTACAAAAAATTCAAAAAACAACAATAATAACAAAAATTCATAGTAGGAAAACGATGAACATAACATTCTACAAAATAAAAACAGTAAAGTAAAATGCACTTACCATACTACATTCCTGAATAAAATTTCGCCAGTCACACAAAGTCTCTGAACAAAAGTGCTACAAATCCACACAAGAACTATCAGAAACGCCCTTCTTCGTCCGAGTTCTCATAACAGCTCCGCATTTCGGATTCCGTTTTAAAACTTCGCACACAGAAATTCCAAAAATACACTTCAATCCTCATAAACACATCCGTGAACAAAAGACTCGTTAAGAACTCCAACATCGTACCTTTTAATACTAAATTTACTTTCCACACAATCTAAAATGCGTGACTGAAATCTTCCCACCACGTCTATCATTGCAACATAGGCCATTTCAAAACACGCACGACACGAACCAACGAGCAATTAAACCACTCCAGGAGAAGAGTTTTTAACGTCTGCAGGGTTGCCATACAACACACAATCGCGCCAAAAACCAGCGCAGAACACATATCGCCGCATTTGGTGAAATTAGGGAGCATATAAGAGTAGAGCCATATATTTTTTCATGCATTTCATTAGGAATACTCATTTTCAGTCAATAAGTAATTCTTCCATAAAATGGAGAAATTATTAATTTATTAATTTATTATTATTATTATTCATGTAACATGTGCTAATAAAAACAGCAAGATTTTTTTGTAAAAGTAGAAACGTTATTAATTATATTATAATTATATTGAATTGCAAACCTGATGATGCGAAATCTGTGTTAAGCATCCATCTGCAGCAAGTCATCTTTAATAAATGCCAAAACGAGAAACGAAATTAAAAAACTAAATCTGAAAGGTTTCGGATTTTAATGACAGCCCAAAAGGGTTCTCAAGATTTTTTATGCTCTTGCTGAGTTCGCAGTCTACTAGTCCACTGTTACACTTACTCCTAGTAATTCACTTGTTTTGTCTGTCTTTTTAGCTTTGTTATTAAGCATCATTTTCTTCGCATTTACACCACATACAATTCAGCAGCAAAATTACAAACATTTTGAAAGCAGCGTAGCAGTATACGTTTAGAATTCCCGATGCGGCGTTAAGTGTTGGCATAATATATATATATATATATGTAATAATAAAATTCCATAGTCAAGCATACACTTAAAATTCTAACTGTATGTTCTTTTCATTTTTAATGGCGACGTTCTCTTATTTGAAAGTACGTGGAATTAAATCCACAGCCCCGTCGTCAAGTTGTTTTTCCGGCCTTTTGTACACGTACAGTTATAGAATGTTCTGGAAATATTTAAAGCGAACTGGATTGGCTGATGAGGCTGACGTCATTTTCTTGGAAGCTCCGCCTTTCCAGAGGCTATAAAAGGACTCGCAAAGGAATGTCGAAGGCTTTTTCTTAAATGTCACGATGCAGTTTTTAAACTTCAAAATGTTATTAGTAGTTCTTTTTTATTTACTCCGGATATCTGATTTTGTAACTGCTATTTCTCCTGACCAATAATAAATGGATCCTGTTTTTTTAAACTTATCGTCTGACAATTTAAGCTACGACTACATTTATGATTCTTCAACAATTTATTTATTCCTGATAAAAGCTGTACATCACACACACACACGCACACACATATATATATATATATATATATATATATGTTACCGTGAAAGACTGAAATTGGAGAACGTCGTCTTTCACCGGAGAATTTCAGCATTCACCAAATACGTCGGTGAAAGATCGAATATTGCATTACATTCTTGTACATTCGGACCCTCACCGGTGTATGTCGACAATCACAGATATGCTCTGGTGTAGGTCGAAAAGAGAGGAGTATATGTACACGCTGTCATTGCAAAAGGAAGTGTTCCACAAATAAATGCAGTTGTAAAAGCAAAGGCCTCTTGTGCAGTTCAAAGTGTCATAATAGTTTAAGTTGTTGCAATAAATAAGATTTGAATCACGTAATTTAGTAAGTTTTTAACTTCTATTATTTTCCTTTCTCATTTTGAATGTACTGTGTGTTTTAAGTTCTCATGTTCTTAAGTTCTTATTTTAAGTCTCAAGTGCGTTTTTTCGCGACCGAATTACGGAGAAGAAAATATAATATTCTTATATGTTCAACATTCACCATTAGTACATGGTGAATGTCGACATTTACCGGTGTAAGTCAGAAATAAGAGTATTTGGAAAATATTTCGGACGTACACTACGCGACTATGTGAATGTTGACATTCACCGGTGAAAGTCGACATTCTCCAGATTTCGGTGTTTCACTGTAACATATATATATATGTGATGCATCGGCTTTTGTCCAGAATAAATAGATCGATGAAGAATCATAGATGTAGTCGTAGCTTAAATTATCAGACGATAAGTTTAAAAAACAGGATCCATTTATTATTATTCAGGAGAAAATAGCAGTTACAAAATCAGATATCCGGAGAATAAAAAGAATTACTAATAACTTTTTGTATGAAGTTTACTGCATCATTACATTAAAGAAAAGCCCCAGATATTCTTTTGCGAGTCCTTTTATAGCCTCTGGAAAGGCGGAGCTTCCAAAAAATGACGTGAGCCTCGTCAGCCATTTCAGTTCGCTTTAAATATCTCCAGAACATTCTAAAACTGTACGTGTAGAAAAGGCGGGAAAAACAACTTGACTACGGGGCTGTGGATTTAATTCCGCGTACTTTCATATAAGAGAACGTCGCCATTAAAAATGAAAAGAACATACAGTTAGAATTTTAAGTGTATTCTTGACTATGGAATTTGATTATTACAAATATATATATATATTTTCCGGTCTTTTGTCAATTCGTCATATCAACGTTCAGCTTACTTACTAAGAGGCATTACGTAACTTTTTAAAAATTTTTATTATTAACGTTTTGTATGTTTACTTATTTATTAAATATCGCGTTCTTGGCTGTTACGCCATATAAATTCAATTCAACAGAAAAGCCACAAAATATTTAAAAATAGCATATCTTTAGAACTTAGAATCAGACAGACAGTCTCGAGTGCTGGAATTAAAAATGTTTTACTCTGTACAGTGTTGCCACTACTCCTTTTGAAACCGCCGAGTTTGTTAATCAAAAATTCTTTAAAGTTTTACAAAATAGGAAATAGATAATAAAACAAATTCGAAAGTCAAATTCGAGCTTCCAGGTGCCCATATGCGGGAGGAGGACTTTGTTATTCAAAATTCGATTGTTCTAGGTACCGTCGATTGTTCTAGGTAATTCGAGCTTCCAGGTGCCCATATGCGGGAGGAGGACTTTGTTATTCAAAATTCGATTGTTCTAGGTATCGTCGTTTTTTCACAGTCCAAGAAACTTACATACTTCATGAAGATTCTTCATTATTTAATTTCTTTAAATATAATAAATATAATACACGCTAATCATATTTGGTGGCAATAATTTGAAAAGTGATACAACGCATTTAAATGTTTGAACGATAAATGATGTTTCGAGACTTATATCAAATTCAGGACCAACGTCCCTTTTGAGCTAATAAATTCATTAATCTTCTTTTGATTTAACATTTCATGCCACACCTAATTAATACTCTTTTTAATTATTATTTAATATCAAATGTTCTCCGAAAGGAATTTACGTTTGATTTGTAATAACAAATCTATAAAATGTCTTCAAATTCAATGAATACCAGTCTATAGCAATTTAATGCATAGAAAATTTTAATCCGCATATAGTGAAACAGCAGAATGTAGAAGGCAAACAAAATCTAGGCTTAAAATGCAATCCTAACAAGCTAAGCTAAGTTTAAAGCTAAATGTAAACTAAGTTCTGTTAAGGAAAGATATGCTAAGGAAACTAATACATAAAAAATTTTTAAAATGTATCTTAGTCCTTTTTCCTCCCTCTCTTCTGAGAGAGATAGGGTAAGAAAGAGATGACCGCCTCCCTAATTTATATATTTAGCACTATGCTTTTAAAAGAATTTAGTTTCATATACTCAACCTTTAAAAAAAACTGCGTTAATTAGAGTAATTTTTTCTCACCGAAAACAGTTTCATTTAATTCGAAATTATGCTTCAGATTTCACATTTTTTCATAGCAGTAATTACCCAAATTATAATGGCGAAACTTCATGTTCTCTCTGTCAAAAATTCGAAATAGGAATAATTTTATTTCTTCTGTATGTCTTCCCTTCAACGCCGAACGAAATACTAGAAATGATTACTAATTTCATCAAGTTATCACTTTGTATGAAATTATGCTTGTACATCGAAAGGTTAAATAAAAAGTAAAAGTAAAAGTAAAGCAATCTGTAACATGGAGAATATTAGTCGAATATGATATACAGAATAATGTCGATTTTAGTTTATAATATGCTGTCTATGATTTATTGTTCCATTCACTGATTAGAAATAACTTTAGATCAGCAGTTATCATCTCGTAAATTTATTTGACTTCTAAATAAATTAATGTTAATTAAATTAACGTTAAATAAATTAATTTTGCTCGGGGAATTTTTGGAAAACTCAGGGAATAGTTTATGGCTCAGGTATTAGATGCATTAAAACGATTACTTTTTATGCACGTAAACAGAATAATGGAATCACTGTATTTATTCATGCAATAATAACTGTTACGCTTATTATTTATTGCATTTGTGAATTCGTGCTACCATTAAGTAATGACATAACTTTTAATTAAAAAAATTTTAAACTGTAATCACCAGTGCATGTAACATACGTAACTGTTGTCTATGTTTGTTACTACAGTGATTTAATTTTTAACTAATTTTATTTACAATTTTTTTAGTATAACTA